GAAATAAAAAAATACAATTAAAGAGCTTTAATAGCAGACTTCATCAAGCAGAAGAAAGAATCCCAGAACTTAAAGATAGGTCATTTGAAAATACTGAGTTAAAGAAAAAAAAAAAGAACGAAAAAGAGTGGAGAAAGGCTACAAGACTAACAGCACACCATTAAATAAACAAATATTCATATTATGGAAGTTCCAGAAGAAAAAGAGATGAAAACAGGCATAGAAAACCTATTTAATGAAATAACTGAAACTTCCCAAGTCTAAGGAGAGATATAAACAAACAGATCCAGGAAGCTCAAAGATACCCAAATATATTCAACCCAAAAAGGTCTTCCCTGAGGTACATTATAGTCAAACTGTCAAAAGTTAAGGACAAAGAGAATTCTAAAAGCAGCCAGAGAAAAGTATCAAGTCACATATAAGAGGATACACATCAGACTAACAAATTTCTTAGCAGAAACTTTACATGCCAGGAGAGAAAGGGATAATATATTCAAAATACTGAAAGAAAAAAAAAAATTGCCAACTAAGAATATTATACCCCAGCAAAATTATCCTTCAGAAATGAGGAAGAAATAAGGTATTTCCCACACAAGCAAAAACTGATGGAATTCGTCACCACTAGACTGGCCTTACAAAGAAATGTGCAAAGGGGTCCAGCATTTGGAAGCGAAAAGATAATAATCACCATCATGAAAACACACAGAAGTATAAAGCAAACTGGTAGAACAGATACAAAAATGAGAAAATGAAAGGAGTCAAATGTTACTACTACAGTAAACTACCAAATCACAATGATAAACAATGAGAAGAAAGGAACAAAGCATATACGAAACAAGAAAACAATTAACAAAATGACAAAAGTAAGTCCTCGCCTATCAGTAACCATATATGTAAGCCAATCAAATTCCCCACTATATCCCCAAGATACAGATTGACTGAATGGATTAAAAAGATACATGATCATCCCACTCAGTAGACAACTGGGGAAAAAAAAAAAAAAGATGTATGATGAAACTATATGCTGCCTGCAAGAAACTCACTTCACCTGTAAAGACACATGTAGACTAAAGTAAATACATGAAGAAAGATATTCCACACAAACAGAAACCAAAAGTAAGCAGGAATAGCTACACTTATATAAAACAGACTTTCAGTAAAAAACTGAAAAGACACAAAGAAGGTCATTTTATAATGATAAAGGGATCAATTCAGCAACAGAATATAACAATTCTAAATCTATATGCACCCAATACTG